CGGGCGAAAGAAAAAGCAACACTCGCACGCTCACACACACACACAGAGCTTGCTGGCATTCGCACGGCGGCGTAAAAACGGTCTGTTGCGCTCCTAGTTTTCCGTTTCCACCCCGTCGGCGACGGACGTACCCCGCGCGTTGTTGTTGGTACGTCATTGTTACATCGCCCGTGCGCAATACATACGTCGCACGATCATCAGCTCTCGTTATTGATGACGAGTCCATCATAATACCGATACCTATGCATTGACAGTCGGCCACAAAACGTGCCGTCATCACTGTTTGATCACAACAGTACAATATTGTTTTGTCATTACTATTGATCAGCGGACGCGATCGGCTCACGTCTTAAATTGCGCGCTGCAAACGCTCGCCAAACCGCTGGCGGGACCGAAGATTTTCCGCGCGCGCGTCGTGTCAACGCGAATTAAATAATATAGTAAACATCATCGACACGGCCACTTCGGCGGGGGCCGACGAGTCGATAACCGCGATATTATTAACATAATTATTATATATTATACCGCGGTCACTGCGATCATCATGCCAGCCATCGTAGCCAACGAGTTGCAGGACATGCAATTGCGGTCGGCCCATGTGACGGACGAGGTAACTTCGCTTTAATGCTATATAATACATATAATATTATACTGAACACGTCATCTTAATATTATCACGTCATACCTATTTGATATTTTTGATATTTGTTTTCGGCCGAGATTTTAATATCGAAAATAATAGCTGATTTCGTACCTATATGCCATATATGTTTTTGTTTTTTTGTTTGTACAGTCTCTGGAGAGCACGCGACGGATGATCGAACTCTGCGAAGGGGTATGTAACATAATAATATAATATATATATATAACCTGCTGTATATTATACCTACTAACCTACTGCATCTATATATAATATGTTAGTGAGCGTATACGTAACGTATTACGAAAATATTTATTTTTGTAATTGTTTTTTTTTCCTCCGAGACAAAAACACAACTCCCACACCTGCAAAACCCCGATGATCCAATGTATTTTACWAACAGTGTAATGCTATATTATATTCGTCCGATTTTTTTGATTTTCCCTCGACACTGGAGAGAATTTTTTGCATCTTCTGTAGGTATAGTATTGTTAAAGGATATTAAATTATTATTATTATATTGTTGTTATCGTTTCCGTGTTCTGATTTAGTCTCGCTGCGCGCCCAATCACTGCGCTCAGCAAACGATAATCAATCGCCGACAAAATCTCATATTGCCCATACCGATATATTATACTATAAAGCATACCTATGGGCTATATGACCGACATTATACTATGTAAATAATAAATGTATATTTATCGGCTACTCGTTGAAATCTCGTTTGCTCTACGCCACCGTTTGACACGTGCGTTCATTCATATAAATAATATTATTATATCGGCAACGCGTCAATAATTAATTGAAAAAATATTTAATTACGCGGTTGACGGATTTTTTAATGGAAAAAAATTTAATTTAATTAAACTTTAGTCCGCAGGTTCAATTCGCGTTATAATTATGTTGTGCTTAAGTGATCCGTATAACGTAATAACGTTGTTGATTCACTGTTTTGTGTTTCGGTAACTTTACAATTTATCTAAAAATTGAATTTACAAATATTTTTTTTCTAAATAATACCAATAATGTAACATAGTTACAAAATAATAAGATTAAATTATAACGTGTCATATTTCATCAACTTTTTTCTAGGCTTTATTAAATTGTGTCAAACTGTCAATCATGAAAACGAACTTGTAAGTGTTTACAAGATAAACCAACTATTGATAATCATTAGTTTTATTTCTATCAATTATAACTATAGTGATAGATTTTGTAAATTTGATTTTTTTATGCATAAAGAAACTTGATAGTTTTTGAAAATATCAATTTTTCTGCGTTTATTGGTTTATCTTAATTCATATGGAATGTCATTTGTCATTTTTTAAATTATTTTTATAAAAAGTATCATCATTACCTATTTTCATATACTTCCCTCAACTAATTTCAAATAAATCGTGGTTTCTAAATTGTATCTATAACAATTATTTTTTATTGAAGTATTATAATGATTTGTAAATACAATAGAATATTTAATTTAACTATGATTTATTTGATTCATATATTATTAAATTATTCAGAGTAACGTAAATTCTAATTACAATATTT